AGGCAGGCGAAGCTGCTGTCAGTGTCGCAGGGCTCGGCTTTGGCACCCTCTCTTCTTCCGTAGCTTTGGTCAACAGTTACAGTGACGATAGCCTCATTCGGGGGTGACTAATGGGCCCGTTTTGTTGTTTGCATTAGCAGAAGGACCACAGCCATCGCCCGTCTCCCATCTCCAAGATGGCGGAGGCAGCTTCAATCTCACCTCTCGCGAGGAGTTCCTCCCCCTGTCTCTGATTAGCCCCGAGGTCAGAGGTAACGTTTCCTGGAAGCGGGCCATTGGCTGAGACTGGGCGAATCCTGCGGTGGGTTGGGCGTTGCGGAAGTGGGCGGGGCTCCGGGTTCTGGCGGTGGGAGTGAGGTGAGGGCAGTCGTTTTGACGTTCTAGGGTCCGGTCCTTCAGTGGGATTGGGTCCCGCGGTGGGATTGGTTTCCGAGAGCTAATGTCTAGGCTTGCCTGGGGCGGCCTGTTGGATCTGAGTAGCCTAAGGGAGATCGGCTGTAAAACTGAGGTCATCTCATTACATTGATTTCCTTGCAAGAGCGGCCAGAGATGGTACAGGATTTGGAGAACTTTGCGGACTCCTTTCGCAGATCGCTGACGTTTGTCCCATACCTGTCTCTGCAGGTATCGCACGGTTCTGTGAGCGCCCGGGTGATAGATTTTTAGCAGTGAAAGAAGACGCACAGACGTCTCTTTTCGGCTGCGGAGGTAGAAGTACCTTTGAAGGCTGTTCGCTGCTGGGAATCGCGAGCTGCTGCAGCAGTTTTCACAGCAGAGAGGTTTTTACCTCTTCAGTCTCTGCCCCTCTCTATGATCTGAGCCTGGAAACGTAGGGGGCGGAGTACTGAGTAATCCTATGGCCTTTACTTTTTCTGTCTCTTTAAATGTTGGTGTTTCCCCAGGGCCCCATCCTCTGCCCTGTTCTGCTCTAAACACCCTGCTCCTTGAACTCAGGTCAAATGCCATGATTTCCTAAGTCTTCTATTTCCTATACAACTCAGCTCTGCCTTCCATATTATCTTCTGTGAATTACCTATTTGACAGTTGCCTAACAGAAATCTTGGAGTCACCTTGGGTTTCTCACCTTTAAATCCTCTGATGACCAGGTAGTTTTACAAAATAAATAAATAAATCCTCATAAATCCTTTTCTTTCCATCTCTCCTCACTGTTTTTCTTTCTTCTTTTTTTTTTTAAGAGAGATTTTTTGCCATTGGGCTGTTCACTCCCCAGAGAGAGACAGAGACAGAAAGCAAGAAATCACCCCCTGGGGGATGACTATGCCACAGTCCCTTTTCCATTCTCCTCTCAGGATTTTGGGCACTACACACATGTGCACAGCATGAGTTTTAAGTCACCGGGTCTGGGACTTGAACCTCAGTCAACTACATGGGAGTCTAGCAGCATAACCGTTATGCCATCTGCTGGTCCCTCCTCACTGCTTTTGATCAGAGTCTTATGGGAACAGCCACTTAACTGTCTTTGTCTCCGGTTTGGCCTCTCTCCAGTCTGTCCACACAAAATCTCACTGTCACTTCCTGCTTGTATTCTTGAGGCCACCCCCTGTATTGAACAGCATCCAGACGACTTATGGTGAGCTGTAAGAACATCAGCTGGCCCTTTAAGAATACCATCTCCCTCCACTTGTCCTTCAACTCTGTTCCAGCTTTATGGAGTAGAGGACAGGCTCTTTTGTGACTTAAATAGGCTATTTTCCTTGGCCTGAAATGCCCATCCCCGATCTGTGCACCCTTAAGATGTAGCCCGCATAGTACCTTCTCTGGTAAGCTTTCCTTCCCTTTCTTTAATTTAGTCTTCTCACCTAAGGCACCTCTCTTGTTCCAGTGAAATCATGCACTTATTTCTGTAAACAATTTTGAACCATTTTCTAGTGTCTATTTGTGTCTGTCTCCCTCATCAAACCAGGGATGCTGTTAAGGACAGGGATTTATTGCTAGAAGTCACGTGTTCTTGCCAGAGACAGAGAGGGAGCAAGTACCCCCGAATGGGATGTGATCCTGCCACCGTCCTTTTCCCTTCATTTCCCTAACCCATCAGGATTTGAGGCATGCATGCACATGTGCCTGGCATGTTTTTCAAGCCAGTAGAGCTGGGATTCAGACCTCAGTCGGTCTTGTGGGATCCAACTCCCTATACAGTGTGCTGCCAGGTCAGCCCAGGGATTGTTTGACTTATCCTTACAACTCTAGCAACATGCAGTGTCCGGCATGAATTGAGTGTTCAGAAAATGTTGTTTGATCAAGTGGACCCAGAAACATGCATATGAAATAGTTTGAGAATCATCTCTCTATACCAAAATAATATAGTTTATTAGTATTTCCAGGGGTAATGAGATAGGTGGTCATTTCTCTGTGGTTCACTATGGAATAAATATCAGCATGTGTTAATAGGTTATGAACTGAAAAAGCATATTTTAACTTAGATTTCAAAAAAATTCTTTATTCAATTGATTCAACAAGTATTTACTGAAAATCTGTGTACTGTGTACCATTCTAGGGGCTTGGGCTAGACAAGTGAACAAGACAAAGATGTTTACTCTTATGGAGTAAATATTCTTTTATTCTTTTTCTTTTTTTTAGCTTTTTTCTTTCTTTCTCCTTCTTTCCTTTCTTTTTCTTTCTTCCTTTCTGTCTTTCTTTAGCTATAGAGCATGTGTGCTCACCAGAGAGAGAAAGAGGAAAGGTGAGAAGTCACTCTCCCCAGAGGGCATGGCCACACCACAATTCCTTCTCCACTCCCTCAGGATTTTGAACATGCACTCTCACATTCCCTGAGTGGTTTTTCAAGCCACCAGTAGCTCTGGGACTCAAATCATGCATTTGGTCATGTGGGCACTAGTGCCTTAACATACATACTACTTACTGGAGTGAATATTCTAGTGGGAGCCAGAGGAGGCAAACAAAACATGTGAACACATAATATGTTTTAAGGTACAAGGTGCTATATTGGAGTGAAGGGGTTGCTTTTTTTTTTTTTTTAATAGGTTTTTGCCATAGGCTGCATACATTTGCCATAGAGAGACAGAGTCAGAAAGAAAGTGAGAAATCACTCCTTGGGGGGATGGCCACACTGCAAACCCTTCTCCACTTGTCTCTCAGGATTTGGGGCATATACCATATGCGCCCAGCATGATTTCCAAACTGCCTGATCTGGGACTTGAACTGTGGTTGACCATGTGGGAATCCAGTGCCTTAACCACCATGCCCCCTGCTGGCCTGAGGGGGTTGCAGTATTAAATACAGTAGATAGGGCAGGCCTAACAGGGAGAAGCTGTTGAGCAATTGAGAAAAGACTCAGAGTTAAGGAGGGTTTGCTCTGAGGCTCTCTGGGGGAAGAACCTTACAGTCAGAAGGGACTAGGGCAGAGCTCCTCAGGCTTTGTGTTCTGGGTCTCTTTAAAGAGAGCAAGTAGGTCCATGTGGCTGGAACATGTGATCTGGGGGAACAAAGAGGAGATGGGGTTACTAGGGGATAAGATCATGTAGGCCCTTGGAGGCTACTGTGAGGACTACTCGGAGAGAAGTGGGGGTAGGCAGGCTAGAAGGCTCCTGTGGTATTGTGGGTCAGTAAGTGAGGGGAGCTGAAGCCTGGGCTGGCCGTGAAGGAGTAAGAGTGATCTTCCCTTGCCTCCTCCCCCTTCCTGTTCTTTCCTTTATTTATTTCTCTTGGTAGATGGAGCACTCGCTATGTCTGGGAATATACTGCTGTGCGAGACTAACACAGACTCTCGCCTTCACAGAGCTTACTCTACTGAGGAGAAGACGGACAGTAGCAATTTAAGCAGAGTAGCATGGAGCTCAGGTGCCTGAACGCAGGTGCCTGAGAGTGATTGGGGAGGGGGGGGTCTCTTTCTAATTTAATTTAGCTTGGGTAGTCAGTCATGCTGTGTGAGGAGGGAATGTTTATAAAAAAAAAGAGAGAGAACCAAAGGGTGGGGTAAAACCTAATTAAAAAAATGTAAGGATAAAGGTGGGGAGGCCAGAGGGAGCATGCCAGGCACAGGGAGTGTGTGCACCATAGCTCTGACTGCCTGGGTGACAGCACGGGTAGGGAGAGTTCTGTATTTTCCAGGAACTGGATGGAGGCTGTGGCCCCATGAGCACAGGAAAGGGTGTAAAATGAGGTTGAAGGAGCAGGTAGGGATGTTGGCTCGGATTTTAAGTGCAGTGGGAAGCCACCATACCATTTTAAGGGAGACGTGTGATCTAATAAACATTCTTAAAAGGTCATTCTGGGGTCAGCAGGTAGTGTGGTGATTAAGGTGCTGGACTTCCATATGCCAACTGCAGTTTGAACCCTGGGCCTGGTGGCATGAAAATCACACATGGGCACATGTGTGCAAAGTCCTGAGAAGAGAATGGAGAAGAAGGGACTGTGGTGTGGCCATCCTCTCTAAGAGGTGATGTCTCACTTTCTCTCTCTCTCCGATGAGCACACGCACCCTATGGCAAAAAAAAAAAAAAAAAAAAAAAATAAAAGAAAAAAAAAAAAAAAAAAAAAAAAAATACCCAGTCGAGGTACAGTGTATTTGGGTGGAAGACAAGCCATCGTGGCTGATAGATGATTACAAGGAGGAAGAGAGGAGCCCAGGCATCAGGGTGACTTGAACTTAGGTTTATGGCCTGAGTTTATGGATGGACAGTGGTACTGTCTACTGAGATGTACATGGCCTTAAGAACTCCATACTCCCCCCACAAAACCCAGGACTTGGAGTGAGGAGCGTGATCTCTTGACAAGCTGTAGGACTAGAGAAGGTCAGAAGAGAAAGGATGAAGATGGGAATGCAGCTGCTAGGGGAAGTGAGGGTCACTAGCCAGTGTGGAGCTCCCTGGCAATGATGCTTGCACTCATCGGACAGTCCAGAGGGAAGCCAGTCAGCTGGGTGGCTGCATTTCCTTCTTTGTTCTTGATATGTCTTGTGGCTTCCCCTGTCTTAAAAACAAAATGCCCATTTTTAGGACCTGCTGAATATAATCTTAGTATTTCTTTACTTCAGAATGGTACATTTATTGCTATGTGAATAGCATAGAGTTAAAATGTATTTGTAAAACTGAAGGTTGATTTTTTCTTTGTAAAACACCACCATTAAATTTTCATTATGTGATCTATGAATTTATTTGTTTAATAAAAAAATAATTTTCACATCATCAGAATTAACATACCCCTTATCGTTTCTTTCTATTTTGCCCATTTCTTCTCCATATTTGCTAAGGCTAGAATAACTGTTCTTTTCAAAGGATACTGCAGGGAAGCATTTGTACTTTAATATATATATATATATATATATTGTTTATGTATTTGTTTATTTATTTATTTATTTGTTAGAGGATGTATTCATTCACCAGCAGAAGGGAGAGAGTACCCACGATGGGGTGAAGTCATGCCACAATCCCTTCTCCTCCATTTCTCCATCCTGTCATGATTTGGGACACACACACACACACACACGTGCATGTTTATCAAGCCTCCAGGACTGAGATTTGAAACACAGTGGACCATGTGGATATAGCTCCCTTAACCATCAGGCCACAGGGTCAGCCTGCATAACAAGTTGATGGAAAAACCCAAATGTCCAGTAATAGATGAATGAATTGTGGTGTAGTCTCCAATGCAGTACTGCACAGCAATCAAGATAAAGAAGCCACGGCAAACGATGATTTTTTTTCACACATAGTGTTGAAGAAGTCAGATGCAAAAAAACATATGCTATGGGGGCCAGCAGATGGCATGGTGGTTGGGGCATTGGATTCCCACATGGCCAACCACAGTTCGAGTCCTAGGCCTGGTGGCTTGCTTTCTCACTTCTCTTTCTCTCTGTCTCTTTCTCCCTGGTCAAATTAAAAAAAAAAAAAAGATGAATAAAACTAAATAAAAAAGTAATTCTTTAAAAAAGAAAATATACTATATAATTCTTTTTGTAAAGTAAAAAAAATACTGAGTTAAAAAAAGCTAAACTCAAGAGGTTACTTTTTGGGGAGAAAGACAATAAAGGGGGTAATGGCTAGCTTGTTAGTTTTATAACTCATCACCTGACCCTCATGGTTTATAAAATTTTGGTATTATACTTGACGAAATAATATGTTGAAGATGTTTAAAGAACAAAGATGTTTACATGCTTTTTTATCTCATTTGACCCTTTCGATGATATCAAAAATTAACATATGCTTTAGCTTTCCATCTTGGCCATTTAAGAGAAAGAGAACTAAAGAACACTAATTAGAAGTTGGCTGTTTAAAATCTTAAGCCAAGATCTGATTTATTTATTAATAGAATACATTTTAAGGAAAAAAGAAAATTTAGCTCTTTTTATTTTTAAGGTAATTTTGGGGAAGTTTCCATTTTTTATTTTTTGTTTTATTTTATACATTCAACCACTTAGTTTGTAAAGTGAATTTACCCAATGTGAAATACACTTCAGACCAGTCCAGTTGGGGATAATATACATGGTATCATTAATAGGTGATAAACCATTTCTGTGTCCCACAAATGTCTCGCCTCTCTGTTTTTCTCCCTAATTTCCTTCCCCCCACTCTTCCCTCTCCCACCGTCCTTCCACAGAAAATTTAACTCTTGACATTAAAAAACTAAGTTTTGCCACAGACAGATAAGCTTTATCTCAAGAAAAATAAGCCAACTGGTTGTTCTACGCAACCACTATGGACTGCATGTTTGCCCACCAAATTCGTTGAAGTTGAATCCCCAATGTGCTGGTATTCAGAGGTGGTGCCTTTGGGAAGTGATAAGGTCGTGAAGATGGGGCTCTCTGTAATAGATTAGGGCTCTTACCAGAGACAGGAGTGAGTTGATGTCTCCCTCTTGGCCACGTGAGGATATAGTGAGAAGCGAGCCCTTGCCAGAACCAAACCACATTGGCACTGTGCTCTTAGACTTAAGTCACCCAGTCTGGGGTATTTTTGGTGCAGCAGCCTGAGCTAAGATACCAACTATGCTTGCTTTTTGTCTATTTAAAAATACTCGTGCATTCGGGCTCTCTGGATCGCTTTTTCTTCATCTGTAGAATAAGGCTGTGGAACTAAATGAAGAATTCTTAATTCGGAATCCATGGATGGTAAGGTCTTTGAATCCTTTGAAGATGCAGAATTATACATATTTGTCCTTATGTATTTCTCTGGTGAGCAACCCATAGCTTTCACCTGATTTTCACAAAGAAGACACCATAAAAATTAGTCTACTGCCAAGGTCCTTTAAAGCTCTAATATTCTAGCCACCAAATTTGTTGAAGTTGAATCCCCAATGTGATGGTATTCAGAGGTGGTACCTTTGGGAAGTATTAAGGTCATTAAGATGGGGCTCTCCGTAATAAACTAGGGCTATTATCAGAGACATAGATCTGGTGGACGTAGATGGTGTAATGGTTACGTCACTGGACTCCTACGGAGTTTACCATGGTTTGAGTCCCAGACCCAGCAGCTTTAACTCACTCTGGGCATGTGTGTGTGCATGCCCAAAATCCTAAGAGGAAAATGGAGAAGGAATTGCAGTGTGGCCATCCCTCTTGGGGGTGATTTCTCATTTTCTGTCTGTCTGTCTCTCCAGGGAGCACACATGTCCTATAGCAAAAATCTCTCCAAAAAAAAAAAAATCTGGGCAATTTTCACGTAGATACAAATTCTAGATTTTCTCTAAGATGTATTAGAAAAGTTACTGTTTTTATCTGAGTATTGGGTATTTTCAGTTTTTTAAATTGTGTTTTTAAACTAATAGAAATATAAACTCTTAGATATTAAATACTTTAAAAGATCTTTAGCCCTTAACCCTCTCATACAGCACATACTGCCTTCCCTCGAAAGGGCCAGAGCTCACTGTGACTGGTCTCAAAGGAGAACGTGCTCAGTGCTAGCAAGGACTGTCCAAACACGCCCAGTGTTTTCTAGCAGAGCACTCACTTCTCTGGGACACTGGGACACGGGACATGGCAGAGGATGCATGTGGGTGAGGATGACAGTGACTGATACCTCACGTTGGCTTGTTGTCAACGACTCAGTGCTTGAGTGTTAACGCCATGAAAATGGTCTGGTTCTGACAGAGTAACAACAAATCAATGATCTTTATGAGAGCATCACTTCCTGTGAGCAGCCCATAAAGCCTACTGGTTTAGTCCTGCGAGACCGTGAGTCTTAGAGCCTAAATTCCTTGAGTACCTCTTCCTACTCCAATCCAGGCCTTGGTTTACAGAGTGTTGACTAGCAGAACTGAAGGACCTGGAGTAATTTAGTGTTTCAGAGAGTAGGGGGCTGAGGGGAGGCTGCAGATGCAAACAGTTGGGCACAGATCCAGGAAGGTAAACTCCAGTTATCAAATACACTGTCAGAAGGCATGGGGAGGGGAGTCTGTGTAAGTCTAGTCTTTAAATACTCCTCTTGGGCCAGGGCCACAGCGCAGCAATTCTGTGCTGCACAAAGGAAGCCAGATCCCACGTGGCTGACTAAGGGTTCAAATTCCAGCACCGTTGGCCTAAAAACAAGCCAGGCATGCATGCCCAGGATCCATGACAGGATGGAGACTCGAGGAAAAAGGATTGTGGGGTGACCAGGCCCTGCTGGGGGTCACATGTCCTATAGCAAAAATCTCTCCAAAAAAAAAAAAATCTGGGCAATTTTCACGTAGATACAAATTCTAGATTTTCTCTAAGATGTATTAGAAAAGTTACTGTTTTTATCTGAGTATTGGGTATTTTCAGTTTTTTAAATTGTGTTTTTAAACTAATAGAAATATAAACTCTTAGATATTAAATACTTTAAAAGATCTTTAGCCCTTAACCCTCTCATACAGCACATACTGCCTTCCCTCGAAAGGGCCAGAGCTCACTGTGACTGGTCTCAAAAGAGAACGTGCTCAGTGCTAGCAAGGACTGTCCAAAAATGCCCAGTGTTTTCTAGCAGAGCACTCACTTCTCTGGGACACTGGGACACGGGACATGGCAGAGGATGCATGTGGGTGAGGATGACAGTGACTGATACCTCACGTTGGCTTGTTGTCAACGACTCAGTGCTTGAGTGTTAACGCCATGAAAATGGTCTGGTTCTGACAGAGTAACAACAAATCAATGATCTTTATGAGAGCATCACTTCCTGTGAGCAGCCCATAAAGCCTACTGGTTTAGTCCTGCGAGACCGTGAGTCTTAGAGCCTAAATTCCTTGAGTACCTCTTCCTACTCCAATCCAGGCCTTGGTTTACAGAGTGTTGACTAGCAGAACTGAAGGACCTGGAGTAATTTAGTGTTTCAGAGAGTAGGGGGCTGAGGGGAGGCTGCAGATGCAAACAGTTGGGCACAGATCCAGGAAGGTAAACTCCAGTTATCAAATACACTGTCAGAAGGCATGGGGAGGGGAGTCTGTGTAAGTCTAGTCTTTAAATACTCCTCTTGGGCCAGGGCCACAGCGCAGCAATTCTGTGCTGCACAAAGGAAGCCAGATCCCACGTGGCTGACTAAGGGTTCAAATTCCAGCACCGTTGGCCTAAAAACAAGCCAGGCATGCATGCCCAGGATCCATGACAGGATGGAGACTCGAGGAAAAAGGATTGTGGGGTGACCAGGCCCTGCTGGGGGTGCTTTCTCTCTCTCTCTGATGCATATACTCTGGTTTTAAAATAAATAAATAAATTTCATCCCTTCACTCTTATGGTCCAGAATTAATATACATTACCCAGATTAATTTCCCTTCACTAAACCAGACTTAATTATTTTCTACTTTTGGAATTTCAAAATATCTAAGGAGAACCAATTAGCAAATTAGATAAGAGTTGTTGATTAAGGATTAAGAATTAAGAAAACCGCTGCAACCATTACAGTGCTCATTCAGGAGTTTTGGGTTTTAAAGCAAACAATATCAAAGAAACAGGAAAATAACACCTTTTTAAAAATCTTAGATATGCTGCTTTTATTCCAAAGAATAAAATACTTGACAGGTTCTTAAATGACAAAGTGTGAGCCGCACCGCCAGTCCTCTCCAACAACTCTGTGAGGTAGGTGTCTGCACAGCAACAAGGGGTCCACACAGCCCCTTTCTTCCCTTGTTCTCTCAATCCCGAGAACTGTCGTAGCTGAAACCACCATTCTAGTGGGCAGTTAGAACAACTGCTCCTCCGTCTTGTTCCCCACAGAGCTGTCCAAGTTATTTTCTGCTCCTGGGGTTGGACCATCTGTTTCCATGACGATTACAATATATATTTTTTTAAGAATTCAAATTGTTGCTTTGATTTCTATGACCTAACTCTGCATCATGGACGTATTACTATGATGTTTAGAACACTGATTGACTCTACTTGCTTTAAACACTCTCGGTTCCTTCTGTGTTTATGATCAGCGATCAGCCAAGAGGACAACGAGCAAGTCTGAAATTCTGAGATGTCTGCATGTTCCCTTTTCAGTGTCGTTAGACTTCATTTCATATAGTGTTTCCGTATATTACGAAATGTGGTACAATACACTTCTACCAGGAAAGGCTTAGTAGTAATCCTAGATATTACAATACAATTATTGTAACAAGAAATGTGACACTTGGAGCAGAACACATGCACAGAAAATAAAATCTTTTCAATAAAATGACATCGCTAGAGACCCACACCAAACTTCTCAGGGGTAGGAAATGCATTTCCAGTCTGGTACATGGTGGTGTGACAAACTGCTTAGGAGCTTTTGAGGTGGTGACCGCAGCTGAAATATATCTGTGACGGATGCCACCCTATGAGACATTTGTTTTGCAAGTGTAGATTTAGGAATCATCGAGTCCTGCTGGGTCATCTTTCTAGACTAGGAGACCAAAGCGCTCTTACTCCCATGCAAGAATAATGTCTTATGAAAGACTTCCCAAGGATCCCAGCTTCTCCTCTTCAGCATGAAGTTAAGTCTAATGAAGCATCTCACGCAGGAGTCCTACTAAGACTTCAACACCAATTTAATCATTTACTGTTGGGTGATTTCAGGGGAAAATTAAAAAGCGAAAAACCTTTCACTAGCATAGGGAGTTCATCAGTGAAAAGGAAGGTGATGCCCTGCTTTCCTCCCCTAGTTCTCCTAAGGACAAAATGAAAAGTATGTGGGAAATGGCTGTAATTACACGATGCCTAGTTTAAACAGTATTGCTCTCTCTGACATGCAAGTTCTGCGGTAGCTCTGTATCAGAAACCACGACTGACATTTTATTCAGAATCTTATTAGTCAATGGCTAATCTTATTAACGTGGGAGAATGTGTCAGATTTTCTCCGTGTCTCCCTAATATAACCCTGCTCGATAATAAGTTGATAGATAGTATTCCTAGTGATGGCAGATGACAATGCTGATACCGATATGCATGTAATGGGGCTCAATAATAAATTAGTGAATAATATTATTGGGTCGTTGAAAAAGTCATGACATTATTTTTTCTATGTAAAAATGTGTCATTCCTTTTCTGACGACCCAACAGTGTAATGACGGCAGATGACAAAGCTAACTCGGACTCCTGTCTTCAGGGTGCACCCCGCCAGCCTAAATTCATGAATGAGTAGTGCTGGCTAAAGTGACTGAGGACCTAGTCAGACCTGTGCTATCGATTCATCTCAAACAGAAAACTGCAGAAAAGGGCATTAGACACTTGTGTCATAGCTGTCAGAAAAAAACGAGATAATGTTCTTATCCAGCACCCAGACACGTCTGCCCATTCTTCATGGAATGATGAATCGGGGCTATTTGCTGCCATCCAAACAGAAAACTAACCACAATTTGTCCATTCTGTTCCCAGAGCTAACTAGTAGTTTCTCTTGTCCCACTTAAATAGTGTTCTTGTATCTTAAGGGCTTGGATGCTCATAGATATGAAGATCCTCTTTCCTCAGCTTCAAACTACTATGAGTTTGCAGAATCACCAGATCCCTAAAAACATCTCCCTTTACGATTACTTTTATATCTGGTCCTATGAAAGGACCAAACTCTTGTTTAAATGTCATAATTGTGAACATCAAATGTGCTGACTGGAGATAATGTTTTCAACTTGTAAATTCTTCTATCGATTAAAAAGTGTTCTGCAGCTCAGCTGTGATAGTGCGTGCTGCTAAAACACTGTGCTTCACAAGCTGGGAGCACACGGGAGGCCCGGGTTCAATTCCCAACCCAACCTAACAACTGAGAGCATGGCATGCTCCTGTAATCCTAGCAGCTCAGGTGGCTGAGGCAGGAGTACTGTGACAAGACCATTTTTAGACAAAAAATAGAAAAAAAAAGTTTTGTAAACTGGAATATGAAATCAAATGATAAACTTCAAGTTTCTTCTTTTACTTTCAGTATTAACAAAAATTCTACCAGAATGGAAAAGTGAAACTGCTCCAAATGTACAAAACTAAGCTAGTACTACAAGAAACACTGACTTTTCCCCAACACTGCACGAGATTTTATTGTAACAAAAGGATTTAGATGAGTTTCATAGCTCTGTATTATCATATATGTACCCACTGAGCATAAATTGGGTAAACTGTACACTTGATGGTATCTTACTACACACCCAATTTAAGTAATTTTGGGGAAAAGAAAAAGATATAAAAGCATCCCTTTTTATATAACTCCATATTTTTCCAGAGACTTTATAGATTGCACAGAATCAAGATAAAACTGTAGGTTATTATAATTCTAACCTTAACATTAGAACCTGCAACATGTAAAAATTCCAGTTATATATTGCTAGGCATTTGTCAAATGATCATCGAATGTCATACAGCGGTTTTGAGTTTATAATGTTCAGATGCTTCATACTGCCATGGTCCTTTCATTTGACTTTATACATTAGCTCAGACAGTCCAGTAAACTCATTTTTTTCATCTGGTTAGCCTTTGGGTTATCACTTCTCGGTACATAATGGAGATGTAGATAAGCAACAGAAAGATGACAAAGAAATCATCTAGAAAGCCTAGAATTCCAAACAAGGCCTCAGGTACAAAATCTAAAGGTGATATGAGATAGAAAAAAGCTCCCATTAAACAAAGTATTATTCTAATGCGGAACATCCAGAAAAGGCCCCCAACTGAAAACATTTCTCTGAATGCATGCCTCAGTAAGGTGGGTAGGTCCATAATCCTTTCCATAATCTGGTAGGGGAAAAACACATGTTATGATTTAGCATCTAGGGTGTGAGGTTTTAAAATAACATATTTTAAAAATAACACGCAAACTCAATTAAGGTGAATCAAGGACATTCACGTATTGGTTGAACACTGTTTTCTAATTATGCATTTTGTTTAAAAATTGTTCCTTGATAACTAGGGTCTTTTTTTGTTTTTTCTTTTTTTGGAGAGGTTTTTGCTATAGGGTGCGTGCGCTCCCCAGACAGACAGAGAGAGACATAGAGACAGAAAGCGAGAAATCACCCCCCAGGGGGGATGACCACGCCGCAATCCCTTCTCCTCCATTCTCCTCTCGGGATCTTGGGCATGCACGCACACGCACCCGGCGTGAGTTTAAGCCACCGGGTCCGGGACTCGAACCGCGGTCGACTACGTGGGAGTCCAGCGACATAGCCATTATGCTAACTGCTGGTCCTGATAACTAGGGTCTTATAAAGTACATCTTACTGCAGATAACTGAAAAGCAACTAACTTGTCAACAAATTTAAAATATGGGATATAGTAATATGAACCTCAACTCATCTCTAATTTGAGACACAACAAACCAAACCAAGAATATACTATATAGCACTGGAGTCTGAGGCTTGAGCTCAAGTCTCAGCTTTAAGTCAAATTGGGTTTCCATTCAGTCATTCACTTCTTAGCTGCATGATCTGGGGGACTGTGGTTTAACCTATTAGTGATAACTCAACTTATTATTTATGTGCCATAAGACTTATAAGGAATTAATACTGGGGGACCAGCAGATGGTGTGGTGGTTATATTGCTGGCCACAGTTTAAGTCCTGGACCCAGTAGCTTGAAAATCATGCAGGGCATGTGTGCATGTGTGCCCAAGATCCTGGGAGGAAAATGGAGGAGAATAGATTGCAGTATGGCCATCTCCCCGGGGGATGATTTCTCATTTTCCCTCTCACTGTGTCTGTCTGTCTCTCTCCAGGGAGTGCATGCACCCTCAGGCAAAAACCTCTCAAAAAACAAAATAATCTAAATTGGGCCATCCAAGTAGCCTAGCAGTTAAGGGAACCAGTTCTCACATGGCTGACTCATGTTCAAATCCTGACCCCAGTAACTTGAAAATCACACCAGGTGCATGTATGTGCATGCCCCAAATCCCAACAGTTTGGAGAAGGGGAGGAAAGGGGGTGTGTCCCTACTCACACCATACCCCCCATCTGTCTGTTTCTCTCTGGTGAATGCAAGTGCCCTCTGACAATTTAAAAAAGAAAGAAAGAACTATAAGATATTGTAATATGAAAGGTCTTTATAAATTGACAGATATTACGTAACTTTTGTCCATTAGAGATACAAACTTGGAAGGCTTTGACAGTCTAAGAACAGCAGTTACCCTCATTCTTTCCATTATTTCCTCTGGTCATTCCTGTGCACACAGTTCAGCTATTTATAACAATCTGTCTAAAAGTTATAAACCTAACTCTGGGTATGTATTTTATTTTACAAATGACAAGTTGAGAAGTAAATGCAGACAACAAGGCGAAGAACTGAGAAAGTGAAGAGAAAACAGTTTAAAAACTCTTCCAGATAAAGAAAATCTTATAACTAGCTCCTTTTAGAAAACTAGACACAAAAGATAAAAAGTGAACCTTTTAGAATCACTACCAATGTGAATTTTCTATGGAAGAAACCAGTATTTAAAGCAAAAACAGCTATGCAGCTTTCACAAAGTTTATGGTGCATTACTTTAAATATTCAATGACCAGCCAGTAAATCTGAATGCCTTACTGTCCTTTACCAGAGCTATTTTGTTCATATCTAATTTATCATTTGTACAAAATCTATGTAGACAAGAAATATGAAATGGTTTACTCAGAAATGTTGATATATTGAGCAAAATCTTACTCCAACTATGAAAGAAGCAGAATTTCAAAGAGCTAGATGTCTTTATTATATTGTAACTTAATCGTATACCAGGCTTTCTGACTTATTAAGTATTCAACACCTACAAAAAAGTAATTGAGCAATGGTGTGCTTCACATTTAAAAATATTTATAAAAATCTTATTTTTTTTTTTTTTTATGCCAGAGGGACCTGCATTTGCTTGACAAAGAAAGAGAGAGAGAGATGGCAATCCTTCCCAATGGAGAGTGGTCACACCATAATCCTGTCTCCATCCTGTTGGGATTCTGGGTATATCCATGAATGCATACACAACTAGCATGTTTTTCAAGCTATCAGAGCCAGGAATTGAACTATGGTCAGCCATGTGGGACTTAGCTCCCTTAATTGGTATGCTGGCCCTTAATTTTTTTTTTCTTAAGTTCAATGGTAGGGCTTAAATTCGAAACACGTTGCATTCTCAAAGAATCAGTTATATATGTCACTGAGAATATGTGAAAAATTGCTGGATCAAAAAATATCAGAAGAGACTCCCCAATGATTATGGAGGGCAAGAGTGATTAGAATAAGTTGTCCTTATTGTTTAAACACCTACAAACTGGGGCCCTTAGTACATTCTAGTGTTTGAGTATATATCCAATCATACACACATTTCTAGAATCATTTGTTATATTTCAAGAAAACCAGAATGAATGTGATAGTTTTAAATTTATCAAATGCTTTTTGAGGGGGAAGATAGGTCAACTGTAGAATTAATGTGCTTTTAAAACGAGAATGCTTTTGGCCTTGCTCTATAGTGCAGTAATTAAGCCCTGTGCATAGGGAGCTGGATCCTACATGGCTGACCATAGTTCGGATCTTAGCCTGGATGGTTTGAAAAACATACCAGATATGTGTGCATGTGTGCCCCAAATCCTGATGGACTGGAGAAATGGAAGAAAAAGTACTGTAAGTGTGACCCATGCCATTCCCGTCCCCCCTGGTGAGCACACATACCCTTCATCAATAAAAAATAAAATTAAAATATATAATGCTTTTGACTAGCTGACATTTAAAAAACCTCCACAGCCTAGAGTTATTTAAGGAGAAATTTCTAATGGGGCTAAGGTAAATAAAAATAAAACATAATTGTAAAACTCCACAAGTTTTTAGGGCCAGCAAGTGGCGTAATGGTTAAGTTGCTGGACTCCCACATGGCTGACTGCAGTTCTAGGCCCAGACCTGGTGGCTTGCTTTCTCACTTTCCCTTTTTCTCTCTCTGATCAAATTTTAAAAATAATAATAACCAAATAAATAAGTAATTCTTAAAAACAAACAAAATAACAAACAAAAAAACCACAAGTTTTTAGTTAGAAAGTTTTCTCATAAGACAAACTATGTTTTGGAATCACATAGGAATCAGCAATTTTCTATTTCCCTGTACTATTTCCTACTGCTTTTTTTGTTTGTTTGTTAATTTCTCTTTCATACATAAAGACTTTTATAACATTTTTTGTTTTTTTTTGGGGGGGGGAGGGAGAGGTTTTTGCTATAGGGCGCATGCGCTCACCAGACAGACAGAGAGAGACAGAGAGAGAGAAAGCGAGAAATCACCCCCAGGGGGGATGGCCACGCCGCAATCCCTTCTCCTCCATTCTCCTCTCGGGATCTTGGGAACGCACGCACATGCATCCGGCGTGAGTTTTAAGCCACCGGGTCCAGCATGCGAACCGCAATTGACTACAGGGGAGTCCAGCGACATAGCCATTACGCTAACTGCTGGTCCCCGGTTGGTTTGTTTTTTAAGAAAGGAATCTACAGTCTTTAGAAAAGCTGTAACTCAGTGATTTATAACAGTAAATGCAAAAACTTGACTAAAACATAAAGAGGTTTTTCATAGTCAAAAACTGCTTGTTGGTAAATTGCATTTTACAAAAGAGAGATCTGATGGCTCCCTCTAACTTTGCACCCACTACAACACTACTCACAGATCTGGGCTGCCCTGAGAATCTTCGGTTATAGTCATTGATGTCCTGATGCAACCTCACGACATCCTGAGACTGATCATCTTCACCAAATACCGTCAGGAGTAACGTCACCTGTACAGTACAGAAAACAGTCACGCCTTCCTGCACCATTCTTCTTTTCAGTCTGTATTTTATTCAATACAATGAGAAAAGCCTCCGAATTTATATTTCACTCATTTCTTTTAGTAGAAGCAACATGAAGTGGGTAATAAGTTATTACTGCCTTATGATAAGATCCAATGCAAATACAACTTGCATTCCTATAAAATAAAACGGACACCATACCCAGACACTGGTTTTAATTTTTTTTAATTGTGTGTGTGTGTGTGTGTGTGTGTGTTTTGTCTGTACCAGGAACACATTCAATAGTCCTCCTTTTGAGCTAACAGATATCTGAAAATACAAGAATGTCAAGATGTCAAGATAGCATTCATGAACTAAGTGACATGAAAACATGAGGCCTGTCATTCTGGGAGGGGAAAATTAGGATATTCTTTTTCTTTGTGCTAAAATAATGATTCCCTATTCTCCCTGGTATTTGAAATATCTACCAGCAATTACATAAAGTTATTTCAGAGACCAGCTCGCGAGCACCAATCCCTGCTGTAATTTTAAGTGTGGTTCTTCGTAATGTTCTGTAACACGGTGCACCTAACCCTGCTTCCTCTGTGGCGTGGGAAGGAGGGTCTGAGCAGCCCAGGACCGCAAGGAAAGGGTACCTTGAAAAACAAATATATGAAAAAATACAGAATCATATAGGAAATAGTCACTGGTGAGTCATACGATGAGATGAAAACGGAAAGAGGTAGTGACAGATTCCGGTTTAAATCTCTGTTACTTTCATCCTTCCTCAGTTCAGCTGGAAAGACAGGGCTTCCCACAGCTCAGCTGTTTTTCGAACATTCAAACGAAGAGTGACTAAGGGCGGTGGGTGGTAGGACAGCAGGGACAGCCATGACTTCCTTCACAAACTGTTAATAAAAATGCATTCTTTCAACCAGCCGGTGGCATGGTGGTTAAGGCAGCTGAATCCCACACAGCTGATGGATAGGTTTGGACCTGGCCATTCGAAAAACACACATTTTGGGTACATGTGTGCCCAAAATCTCCAAAAGAGGAGAGGTGGTGGAGAAAGGATTATGGCATGACCATTCCCCATGGGGGTATTCTTTCTCTCTCTCTCTCTCTCTCTGTGTGTGTGTGTCTCTGGCAGGCCTATGTGCTCTCTGGCAAAGTTTTTTTTTTTTACAAAAGCATCAGTCACCGTGGGCAACTATGTTAAGTGCTGGGTATACAAAAACAAAAATATTGACATGCTCTGCTTATGGGTGACCACAGTACCAAAACAGAAGGGAAGCCAGACCTGTTCGACAGCCCATCCTATGGCACTGTGGTGAGTGTTAGGCCGTGCAATGGAGTAGGATGGCTCTGTTAGTGTTTGCATCCAGGGCAGGCAGTGGTGAGGGCTCCAGTCAGACACGGCAGCCTGTGTATCATTATTTCTGTGACTATTTACTAAAGGAGCCCAGTCAGACAGGAGGTGGAGGTGGTACCCACCATCTGTCTCGCCTCCTGGATGAATTACTCTGCAGTTAGGAAACCAATAGCTATTGTATTGAGGCAACCTCATCTCTATCTTGTAGCCCCTTAGTGGGGCGGTGGACAGTGCCAAGGAGGGTTTGTGTGTGTGTATATATATATATATATATACCCATCCCCCCTGTGGAAAGCCACCAATGGAGCCAAGCAGGGGAGAAAGGTGGTGAAACTAATTCTTTAATGCAAGACCTACTAACTGATCTCGATGTTGCTGGTAGATGGCAAAAATGGTAGGAGGTGGTACTGGCAACTAAATTTCAATGTTGACTGCCTTGTGTCACAGATCAAATCAGTCAGAGGCAATACAAAACGAAAAATGATCAATTTCCTCCTGATGATGCGATTAAAAAGTCAAATGCGAGGGGCTGGCAGGTAGCATGGGGTTAAGGTGCTGGACTCCCACATGGCGACTACAGTTTGAGTCCTGGGCCTGGAGGCTTGATTTCTCATTTTCCCTTGCTCTCTCTCTGTCTCTCTCTGGTCAAATTAAAAAATAATGATAATAAATACAACTAAATAAAATAATTCTAAAAAAAAAAAAAAAAAAAAAAACTGCAGAATTTAGAAGTGTTGAAGCAAGAGACCTGGACCTCCTTTTCTGTACCAAAAAAGGAGGCAGTGGATGAAGGAAGTGGACAGCCAAAATCACGGCTTAGGCCAGCTGGTGGTGGGTGGTTAAAGCAGCTGGAGCCTACATGGCCCACTACACACAGTTCAAATCCTGGACCCAGTGGCTTGAAAAACATGCCAGGCACATGTGTGTGCCCAAAATCCCAAAAGGAGACATGGAGGAGAAGGGAATACAGCCTGACCATCCTCCACGGGGGTGCTTTCTCACATCCTTGCTCTCTCTGTCTCTTTCTGGCGAGCACAGGCACCCTCTGGCAAGTTAAAAGAGAAATAAAGAAAAAGCTAAAAGGCACATGTGTACACATGTGCATACATACCTATGTGTGTATGTAAATCAATGTGTATTCAAGGTTTTATTTATGTAAAGTCCAAAAATCAGACAAAGCTAAACAATAATCGTACAGATGCAAACTGAGTAATAAAGCTATCTACACTACAAAATTAAGGAGTTGTTTACCATGAAAGTCAGACAGCAGTGACCTCTAGGGGAGGATGGGGGTGGTGGAAATTCGGAAGGGGCCCTGGGAGTTCTGGGCTGTTCGCCAGTTTCTAGTCCTTAATCTGAGTAGCGATTACTCGGATGTTGCTTTGTGATAATTCCACAAGCTGCACTTCCTTGTATTGTGGGCTTTTCTATGTGGCTGTTATATTTCACAAGCATTTTTGAAAAAAATGGCTTCTCTCCTATCATTTTATTTTATTTTTTGGTTTTTGTGGGTTTCTGCATTTGCAAAATGCCCTTTACTGTAGTTTCAATGGGGTTTCAAGAAGGAACAAAAGCAACCTAATATATTCAGCTGATGTCTCCACTTGGACACTCTCGTCCTTTTCAGGACTTCATTTTCATGAGGGAAGACTTCCTAGGAAAACGCTATCTTTTCTATACGTTCAAAACTTGTTGTCAGACTGGTATATAGATTTTTATTTTAACAGTTTAATAAGTTTAAAGGAAACTAGGAAAAACCAAATACAACTGATAGAATGTCCTATGCTGCTATACTAAAAATAAGAACTATGGTTTTTCAACATTGTTCCACAGTTTGTTCTCCAGTTTGTCAAAGAAACTGAAAAACTTTAGGACGTCTCATTTGTGCAGATATTTCAGTCTTCAGATTTACGTTTATAAGCTCTTCCTCCCTCCCTCCAGAGGTGGCTTCTATGTTAACGGTAACGGTCTAGTCTTTTCTGGATAATGCATGTGGCCAGGCCTCTAAAGTAAATGAGACATTTAAAAAAAGATTTATAGGTCATTGAAAGCTATCTGAACCCTCACTAGGAAAGGGCAGATAAATATATGGTTGAGCGCAATTAGCTGGTTCAGTTACTCCTTCGCTGGTACTGTGACAAAACCTTATTAGGATTTGGGGAGGGATTTATTTATCAGTTGTTTTTCACTGTAACTGTAGGATTTGAAATAGAATTCTCTTTTTTCATGTGGTGTTTTGATGGTTTTTTAAAAGAGTTGGGGCTGGCAAGTGGCGTGGTGGTTAAAGGCGCTGAACTTCCAATGGCTGACCACAGTTTGAGTCCTGGACTTGGTGGCTTGTTTTCTCACTCTCTGTCTCACTCTGTCTCTTTCTGGTCAAATGGAAAAATAATGATAATAAATAAATAAATAAATCTTAAAAAAAGAAACAATCAAATAACATCACAGAATCTTGGGATAAATGAAGTTCTATTAAAAAGATTGAAAATTCAAAATGTAGATACATGAACTATACACATTGACACAATAAACTAGCATAAATGATGCTTTCTGGATATAAAGTATTACCGTTTGTCTACAGATGGGACAACTGATTGCCCCCAGCCACGAACCGTATCGCCAGTATGCAATAATGCAGGCACCTGATGGGAAAAAAAGTACTGAGGTTTTTAAGCCCATATATCCTGAGAAACTTTCAAATATTTTAAGTACTTAACAGCATCACCTTATTTAAAATATTTTTTACTTCATTCAAGTAAATCTAGTAACAATTCTTAGCCATTAAAAAGTATTTTTATGGGGCTAGCAGATGGCATGGTGTTTATGGTGCTGGACACTCCCATATGGTTGACCATAGTTTGAATCCCAGACCTGGTGGCTTGCTTTCTCACTTTCTCTCTCTCTCTCTCTTTGTGTGTGTGTCTCTCTCTCTTTGGTCAAATTTTAATGAATCAATGAATAAATGAAATTAAATAAATAATTATTTTTTAAAAAAGTACTTTTACTTAAACTGTTACTACATAGATATGTGACGGACTTTTTTTTAAACACAAAGAAGTATGCATTAACTGCCTTGATACTATGAGGCTTCCAAGAAAATACTGCATTTCATATATAAAATGGTAAATTAAATATTGTTGTAAATATGACAACCAACCCATCACAGCATGAATTTTCTGTTCCAAATTTCATATATATGTATTACAGAAACACAACTTTTTTTTTTTTTAAGAGTTCAGAAAGCTGAGTTACGAGAAGTGTGGGCTCATGGTAAGTAAGCAGTGTGAGGAGTCCAAGCAGAAAAAGGCTATGTGCCCTCTGCCCTAAGAAAGTTCCTAATCTAGTGCGATAGCTGACTCTGTTTGGTAGTGGATAGCTCTAATTTTCCTACTTGGAGGGATTCACGAGCAGTAAAATAGCCAAAGTTAGGGAACGCAGCCTAAAGGAAGAGTTGGTGTGACTTCAAAAAGTGGGAGGTCAGCTAAGTGTGTAAGTGCTAAACTTCAAGCCAATAATAGAGGAAGGAATATTTTTAAATACTATCTGATGCTGCGGCCAGCAGGTGGCGTGGTGGTTAAGGGTACTGGACTGCCACCTGGCCAACTGAGGTTAGAGTCCCAGATCTGGCGCTTGCTTTCTCACTTTCCCTCTTTCTCTTTCTGTCCCTCTCTGGTCAAATTTTAATAAAGTTAAATAAAATAATTCTTTTTTAAAAAATGATCTGGTGTTTAAGGGGCCAATTTGCTTTCTTTTCAGGACATCTTGAGTCTTCAGCCACACGAGGCCCACCGTGAATCTGAACTAAGTGCTCCAGGATCCTCTCTGAATTCCTTGCCTCAGCAACCTGGCTTAGGCCTGTGTGTTGCTTATTCTTATTCCTCCAGATTAAATAAGTAAACAGAATTCAGGACAAGCAATGGCAACCCGATTGAGGAGACCAAAGTGACGTATGTCAATTAATCAGAAGGTAATTATATCTTGAGCTGTGTAATATTAACCCTGAATACAAACGGAGTGCAGATCACAAATCACTCTTGTAGAGGAGCAAGGATCTGAGCGGACCTTTGTAGGACAGGGAAGATTTAGATAGGCAGGAAACAGGGGGAGGCCACTTCAGGTTTTCTGAGCAGCAGAAGCAAAAGCCAGAGGCACAAATGAATAGAGCATGGGGGATGCTGGAGAACAACAGATGGGCTGAGCAAAAGCTGTCGAGACTGGACGGCAAGGAGAAGCTTGCTCACCAATTGACAGTGGAGTTTAAAAGCTGAACAGTCTCTGATAGCTCTACTTTCCCAGGGTGCTGTGCTAATTTGGTAATATTCATTAGGTACTCTGAGCAGTTTCTTTCGGATGGGAACTCTGTGAAAGCAGGACTCGTTCATCAGTTATCAGTATTGCTGTCTGTAATGATGACTTAGATTTGTCTACTACCTTGTCCCCAAGAACTCCGTGTGTTTGACAATCTCATGTCTTTTCTAGTCCTTGCTTGGCACGTTATATATTGGCCACCAGCCTGCACTGAAAACCGTGTCCTGCACATCAAACGCTCCAGTTCTTAGACATGTCCTCATATGCACATACTTTCCTCTTCCTCAACTTCCCCCTCCATAAGAAGAGATATCTACCTAAATAGAACGGTGAGAGAGATGAATCAAAACCTTTCATTTGGGTCAAGTTCCTCTAGGAAAAAGGCCTCCCAAGACTGCTGGAGAATTGCATCAGCTACTCTGGGTCACAAACGCAGACGAGGTGCTGTCTGCTGCTGCTATTACTGTTACCTCGTGACGGGGGGCAGAGCTGCGGTCCTGGACATAGGAAACAAGCTGAAGTACTTCTGACACACATGGTATTAATATGCCAGAACTACTATTCAAAGAAACACATTTTGGTTTACTGAGAAGCTGAATAACTAACTTGAAAAAAACAAAAACAAAAAAACGCTTTGAACTTACAGACACCAAACGAAAGTGGCTAATGAGTAGAGCAGGCTATCAGAAGCCGTCTACCCTGTTACCTCAGACCCAGAGGGAAAACCAAGAACACAATGCAGCCACCTTTCCACCGGCAGGACTGGCCATTCAGTAATTACAAAGGCCTGGGTTGGCACCTGCCAGACCTCACTGACTCCTAGCCCCTGCCCAGAGTGCTGCGAGAGGATGACAGAGGCCGCATCCAGACGCGGAAGGAAAGCTCAGATTGATTAGGGCTACCTGCCAGCAGCTTCTGAGGAAGGTATCTGCCTGCTCTGATGGCCAACTGATGTTCTTTCTGATTGTGGTTATTTTGCTGTTTCTTAGCATTTACAACAGAGAATTAAAAGACTGAACCTGAAATACATGCTTTACAATTTATCAGTTACTTAGCAAAACCTTAGGAAGAGGTTGAAATTAATGGATGAAGCAATTATGGGATTGGATTATTAATGAGCACAAGGTATAGAAATCCACTGAAGTCCTCCCAACAGCATAAATAGTAACACTATATCTAAGATTTTTTTTTTGAGAGGTTTTTGCTATAGGGTACGTGCGCTTGCCAGAAAGACAGAGACAGAGAGACAGAAAGTGATAAATCACACACACACACACACACACACACACACACACAAGGGGGATGGCCACACCGCAATCCCTTCTCCTCTCGGGATCTTGGGCATGCACACACACGCGCCTGGTTTAAGTTTAAGCCACTGGGTCCAGGACTTGAACCGCAGTCGACTACATGGGAGTCCAGTGACACAGTCATTATGCCAACTGCTGGTCCCTATATGCTACCTTCTAAAGTAGTCTTTATACGAGAATTTAGTACATTTAGAAACAATTAACACCCTATCACAGAAAGAAATACTGCTTAAAAAAGCCAGGTGTAGTGACCGGGAAATCCAAGTAGGGAGTAGTACACCATTGCACAAGCCACGAACGCACAGCAGAACTGAGCACAGGCTTGAAGACAGACTTCGGCAGGAATCACGTGCTGATCATGGGAATCACATGTAAAGCACGTGTGAGTCACTTGGGGATCACTTGGCAATCACATGCAAATCACTTTCCAATCACGTGGCACTCATGTGACAATCACATACTGGGCACATGGGAATTGTGACAACATGCAAATAACACGCTAATCACGTCACAATCACATGGGAATCATGTGCCAGTCACATGGGAATGTGAGTGTCATGTTATGAACATGCTAGGGACATGTGAAGACCACGTGCTGTCATGTGTCACATGCTAGCAACGTGTGAATGCCATGTGAGTGCTCTACGAGCTGTTGAATGAACATAATGACCTGCGATCAGCACCCCAGTAACATGATGGAATGAATGACCTGAACGCCACATGCCTGCTCAGGTGCCAGCACCTGCCATGCCTCCCAGTGCCATGCCACCACCTGCCACGTCTCCAGGTGCCACACTACCACCTCCCGCATCTACTGGTGCCAGGCCTCTCAGAACCACATCTCTGGGTGGCTCCTATTTTTCACTTATAAGTCATAGACAATTTGTAAGAATAAGGTGCAGATAGCCCTGAGAATTTGTACAAATGACACGTGACACCATGTGTAACCAGTAGCCAAATGTGTACCTGTGTATTTAAGAGAAAATGAGTAGACCTGGAGAGACTGATGGCCAAAGACCTTCCATTTCACAAAACAGGAGTGTACAGAGTAGGCTGATCACTACTGGCTGAGGAAAACTAATGTGGCATCGCATCTGGATGACACATTCCTGGTTAGAAACTGGCCTTGGGGCCAGGAGGTGGTGTGATGGTTAAGGTACCAGATCTCACATGGTAGAGACCCAGACCCGGTGGCATGAAAATCATGCTAGTCACATGTGTGCGGATGCCCAAAATCCTGAGAGGCAAATGGATGAGAAGAGACTGCAGTGAGGCCATCCCTGCTGGGGGAGTGACTTGTCACCTTCCCTCTCTCTGTCTCTCTGGTGAATGCATATGCCATATGACAAAAACCTAAAACAAAAACATCAAACAAAAAACCTGGCCCTGTCATTTGGTAGGTGGGTTATCCTTTTTAAAATTTCTTAATGTCTCTGAGCCTCCGTTTCCTCATTTGTGGGATAAGATGAGAAGAAGAATGTAAAGTGTCCAGTATGCAGTAGGCATGTAAGAACTGACACCCCTCTCCCAGTTTTGTGTGATCATAACAAGCAATGACAATGTGTTATCTCATTATTCCCCCCGAAATCTTTCTGGAAGCTCAGGAAAAGTGAAGCGGGATGAAAGCGCCCCTGACTCACACTCCTGCACTACGTGTGAAGTCGATTGGCCTTCTGGACCCACTTCTTGCTCTATTATTCTCCCTTCCTAAACCCCTTGAGGTCACAGGGCAAGGGAGACTAAGAACTCCTGTACTGACTTAGAGTCAAAGTAGGCAGCAGAGCTAAGGAGAGGACTCGGGCAGGACTCATGAGAGAGGAACCTTTCTGTCCTTAGCAGGATGAACCACGAATGAAACTATCAGCCGGTGATGAATGGGGCGGGGGAGTCAGTGGGTGTCTTGTGCTGCCAATGTCCTTGAGCTGCTATTCAAAGAGACACATTTCTGTTTATGGAGAAGTTAAAGAGGATTTTTTTTTCAGCCCTTAAAGCCATAGATGCTAATTAATATGCTAAATAGAAAAAAGAGATAATATGTATAACTTAATGTATTATTTAGACACTAAATGTACTTGGTTAACAAATAGGGCAGGATATCAAAAGCAATCTGCCCTTCTTAGAAAATACAAAATGTGGGGCCGGCAGGTAGCATGGTAGTTAAGGGCGCTGGACTCCCACATGGCCATCCGCGGTTTGAGTCCCAGACCTGGGATCTTGCTTTCTCATTTTCCCTCTCTCTCTCTCTTTCACTCTGTCTAGCTTTGTCTCTCTCTGGTCAAATTAAAATAAATAACGTTCAATAAAATAATTCTTAAAAAAAATGCAAAATGTGATGGAGAAAATTAGGAATCCAGCCTATGTACACAAGGAGGTCTCAGATTGGTCCTCCTGCCTTTTTTTTTTTAGAGAGCTTTTTGCTATAGGGTTCTTGAACTCTCCAGAGAGACAAAGAGACAGAAAACAAGAAATCACGGGGCAGAGAGGAAGGCCATGCCATAATCCCTTCTCCTCCATTCTCCTCTTAGGATTTTGAGGATGCACATGCATGTGCCCAGCGTGAGTTTTAAGCCGCCAGGTCTGGGAATCAAACCGCGGTTGAATACGTGAGAGTCCAGCAACGTAAACATTACACTATCTGCTGGTACCTCAATCTGGTCACTTTAATGGAGCTCATCAACGTTTGCTTACCACAGAAAAGGTGTCCGCAGTTGGTTTCGACAGGGAGGGAAGCTTGATGTAAACAGATCGGACAGTACATGTCAGTGTAGAACTGCTGGCGCGCAGTAGCAGGAGCATCCTGAGAAGAAAACGTGCACAGGGGAAACCAGGGCACACCGTCAATATTGTACAGTCCTCGTCCAACTTCAGAGGTGCATTAACTTAAGGTCTTGTAAGTTTGATAAAGTTAGGAGGCAGTATTGTTTTTAAAATGCACGGTCTCTACCTTCTTTCCAGAACACATTAAAGACCAGGTGAACCCAAGCGTTTCTTTTTCATACTACTGGAACGAGAAAGTTGGCTGAGTGACACAAGGCTAAGCTACTGTGTAAGCTGATGAATAAGGAATGTCTGAGCTTTTCTAAGCATTTGCTTTTCTGCATTTTTAACATCGTCCCCATTTTAACACATGTCTCCCTGATGAGTATGTATGTTTACCTCATATGAGACCAGCAGAATGTTGGAGAAGAATGTTTGGTCATTTTGGAAACAGAAAGATTAAACACCATTGGCAACTTGTATTTAATTCTTTACATGGGGATAATAAGAAACATGTTTCTAGGTTCCATAAAGGTTGTGACTGAACGGGAATGCTGAGTGCAACCACCAGTACAAAAAGTATCTACTACAGACATCAAAGAGTCTACCAGTATAAATAAGATTATGATGATAATAAATAAAAAATAAATTTAAAAAAAAGATCCCACAGGAACATGAAGGCCATGAGGGCATGGGCTTCATAGGACTTGTTGTAATACTTCAGGACCTAGGAAACTGTATAGCCCTAATATTTGTATTCTAAAAGGTACCATGTTCAGAAAGTACTGGCTGAATGCATAACTCATTAGGAACTGAAGTTGATCAGGTAGAAAGGTATGACTATTTTTTTTTAAGAGAGAGATTTTTGCTATAGGGCACGGGCACTCATTGGAGAGACATAGAAAGAAAGATAAGCAAGAACTCACCCCCCAGGGAAGCTGGCCATGCTGCAATTCCTTCTCCTCTTGGGATTTTGGGTATGTATGCACATGCACCAGATGTGAGTATTTTTAAGCCACTGGGTCCAGGATTCGAACCATGGTTGACTACGTGGGAGTCCAGTGATGTAACCATTGTACCATCGGCTGGTCCCTCAAATTTTTTTTTTTTAAGACAGGATTTTGCTACGTTGTGATACTCTTGCCTGAGCTGGATTAGCTGGAAACAGGTGTGTACTGCTGCACCCAGAAAATACATTTTTTAATTTCTGTCTTTTGAGGTTAGGTATCTTGGATAAAGGTGTGCAATATCCTTCTTCCAACCTTCATAAAGTAGATTACATATCTGGTCCTCAGAGATTCCATCTTTACCAAAGAAGAAAAGTCCTATCCTTTGCCTAATTACTGGGTCATCAGGAAAGTTATGATAGATTTTTGCATAGAAAAACACAGAAAAATACATTAAGACTTTTCCAATGACTGAATAGTTTCATTAACTTTCACCAATGAAGAAAAGTGTGTGTGTGTGTGTGTGTGGAACAAAAAAGCTCCCATTCTTTCTAGTCACTTCTTTGTAAGTCTTAGGGAGTGGATGTTAGAAAAAACATTTTTTCAACACTTTTTATGTTAATCAGACAGTATTTGCTTATATAAAAATAAATAATTTAAAAATTGACATATTTTAAAGCAAGTTAATAAGAAATAAAACATGAAAAGATATGAATAGATTAAGATTAAGCAACCTGGCTAATTTGAAAATGTACATGATATCTATACACAAATGCACATATCCATATAACAGTACCTGTTCTGTTTGAAGCTGTTCTCGAAGCACCCTTACCAGCTCTTGGTTTTCTGGGTGAATGTTTTGGTGTACATTTCTGTTAAACAGAACAAAATCAACTTTGAATATAAAATTTTGTCAGATAAATCCACTCTTTTTAAATTATTTAATTTTATTATTATTATAATTTCTTAAAATTTGCTATAGAGCACATGTGCTCATCAGAGAGAGACAGAGAGAAAGTGAAAGAGTGAGCTACCAGGTCCAGGACTCAAACCGTGGTCGGCTATGTGAAAGTTCATCACCTCAACCACCATGCCACCTGTTGGCCACTTTTCTTATTTAAAAAAAAAAATATTTAACTTAATTTTGTTTGTTTGTTTATTTAAATTTGACCAGAGAGGGACAGAGTGTGTGTGACAGAGAGGGAAAGTGAGAAAGCAAGCCACAAGTCTGGGATTCGAACTGCAGTCAGCCATATGGGAGTCCAGCGCTTAACTGCCGCATCACCTGCCAGCCCCTGACCACTCTTCTTATGAGTCTAATATTCTACTTAGAACTACTGGTAACCTAATCAGTGTAAATGACGGCATCCAACCGCGCTCAGTTCTGAGACTGTGTCCCACCCTACCGTGCGGCAAGTTCTTCTGTGACTGATCACCACTGGCCGATTTCAGGTTTAACCAGCGAATGATAAAATCCAGAACTCCCTTGGAGATTTATTGTTATTGCAAGCTTACAAGGAATATAAAGACCAACAAATACATACTTTTTTCTTTTGTGACAATCCCTCAAAATAAGCAGCTATAATGTTCTTCACATTGTTACGCATCTCAGTGCTTTTGCACACCTAATTTAGGCCTTTCTCTTAACTTTTCAGGTATGAAGGAAAGGGACAAACAAAAATTACATAATGCAGAAATGCCAAAATTTAACATAATGCTAATATCTAAGCACTAACAACTAAAATAGAGGATTGATTTTATATGTGTTTGATATATACAAGAAAGAGACAGCAGAGTACTGAAAGTGAGAAGTGGTGGTCAGGTGGGTAAGGTGGGTGTGAAGATTTACGTCCGAATTACAGCTTAATTTCATTTGGCTATAGATGTTTCTTCTTTTGTGTGTGTGTGAGTTTTGTGTTTTTGCCATAGGGGTGCAAACACTTGCCAGAAAGACACCATTCTAGACTTAAACGTCTTAAACAACACTGGTTGTTGATCATTTTTACATCTGTGTTCATCAGGGACACCAGCTTGGAATGTCCTTTTCTTGCAGTGTCTTTACATGACTTTTATGTCAGGGTAATGCTGGCCTCAGAGAGTAATGAAAGAAAGGTTCCTTTTTCTTCGAGTTTTAGGAAAAGTTTGAGAGAGATTGTTGATAGTTCTTAAAATGTTTACTAGAACTTCAGAATTACCTTCCTATTTAAAGCTTAATATTATTCCACTATGTATATATAACACATTTTGTTTTTCTACTTATCTGTTGATGGACACTTGAGTTGCTTCTACTTTTTAGCCAGTGTGAATAATGCTGTGATGAGTGTGCGTGTATAAATATCTCTCTGAGTTTCCCTTTCAATTATTTTGTGTATGTAGCCAGAAGTGGAACTGCTGGGTCATTTGGTTATTCTATTTTTAATGTTTTGAAGAACTCTGTTGTATTATTTTCACAGCAGTTGTGTCATTTCATATCCTCTCCAATAGCATACAAGGGTGCCAATTTAGTTAGTTTGTGGGATTTTTAAAATTTAGCTTTATTTATTTATTTTAATTTGACCAGAGAAGGGGAGACAGAGAGAGAGAGAGAGAGAGAGAGAGAAGTGGGAAAGTAAGCTGCCAGATCTGGGACTTGAACCACAGACAGCCATGTGACAGTCCAGTGCCCAGAACCACCATGCCACTTGCTGCCCCTAGTTTGTGTTTTTTTTGATAATAGTAATACACATGCGTGTTAGGTAGTATTTCACTGTGCTTTTGATTTTGTATTGCCTTAATTAATTATTACTGATATTACCCTTTACTCACCTGAAAAGCGCATATACCAGGGTAGCAATCAAAGCGAAACTGACCACGACTGCCACGAGTACTTGGTCACTTACTCCCTCTATAACTGAATCATCATCCAATTTCAAACTTTGAACTTCACCTTGATATTTGGCCATTCCAGGTCTAAAATATGAAAAAAAAAAAAAGACAAAAGTTACAAATGACACAGTGAAATGAAATATACTAATAAAAGACATAAATCTAATTGAATTCTAATTCATTTACATTTTGTAGCTCCCATTTAAGGTAGGCTGTATTAAATACAACTCCTGTGGAGATTCATTTAAAGAATGATTTCTTTAAAATTTGCCCAACAGTATTTATTTTTTCTTTTTTTGGAGAGGTTTTTGCTATAGGGCGCGTGCACTCACCAGACAGGCAGAGAGAGACAGAGAGACAGAAAGCGAGAAATCACCCCCCAGGGGGGATGGCCACGCCGCAATCCTTTCTCCTCCATTCTCCTCTCGGAATCTTGGGCATGCACGCACACGTACCCGGTGTGTGAGTTTAAGCCACCAGGTCCGGGACTCAAACCGTGGTCTACTATGTGGAAGTCCAGCGACATAGCCATTATGCTAACTGCTGGTCCCACCCCCCACCCCCCCCAACATTATTTGAGAAGTACAAAATTCTATTTCCTTTAAGGAAAACAATTATTATAATTTATCATCCATCACATTTCTAAAAGCAAATTTTTAAAGAACATTCTTTCTTCTTTAAGCTTAGCTTCTTTAATTTTAACATAAAAAGAGACACTGTTCTTTCTCCTGAATTCCAAATAAACTCTCCGAGTACATCAGATCCCTCTTCTCCCTCATGGCAGCGAATGTGTGCGTCTTATGGAATTTACATGTATGGACGGGAAAGGTAATGTACTATAGTTCTCTGTAAATGTTTGTACATTAGCTAGCATATGCCTTGTATACGGTAAAACCTTATATTTGTTTAAATAAAAAGTGACTTACCATACTTATAGCACTAATAGTATGAAAAGTAGAAGACGTTTAGGCTATAGGATATTTACATCTGTACTAAGACTACGTGAATTAATATAAGTTCTGGTGCTTGAAAAACTCTTAGCCTCACCTGAAACTAAGTTCAGAATTCTCTGAACTGCCTGGAATATGGAATCACTCTGAGGCTGCATTTCCTTATGAAGACAAAAGGGAGAAGAAGAAACTCTCCTTCTCATACTCTAAACTAGCAAAAAATGGTAGTGCCCAATTCTACAGGTATTTCTCTTGTCTGAGGAAAGACAGCCCAACCACATGGAAGTCCAAATATCACAGGTAATTCTTTTTTTTTTTCAGATGACAGAACAGTAAAGTTCAAAGTCTTATAACACACCTAAAGAGAAATAAAGGAAATACTCAATTAAATATATTATATTGATAATTGAAGCAAAGTTCTGCATTTATGTAACTTATTACACTAAAATAAATTTTGTCCAATATCATAAACTAATCAGACAAGCCTAGGTTAAAAAGACATTTTGAGTGTGAAAGTCTAACACCTTTGAAAAGAACCAGAACTGGAACTGGATGTTAATAAGAAAATGACATCTCATGGAAGAAACTTAAGCAAACAAATAGATGAAAGCTTTCATCAGCTTTACACATATAATAGTGAGATATATCCAGAACTTTCTAATAATAGGTTTCAAATATCCTTTCTGAAGGTGCACACCAGGAAACTCAAAGAGCTCTAATTTCAGTATTTTCATTCAAAAGAATAGTCAAATAAATTGCCAACTGAAATTGAAGAAAGCCTCAATAATACCTAGGGGTAGGTCATGTAGTCAATTTAGGTTTTCACAATATTTTTATCGGGTTTCCTCTTTTTAAATCAGAGATGCTATGGCTGTGTACAAAGTCCTAAGGGCAGTGAGAAATGCTTGCATCTGCTCCAGTAACCAAAATATTATTCCCTGTGTCAAGATTCCCAGCCTCTAATTACTAAATGTAATTACTTCAGAGTTGTGAAGATTAATTTAAGAGGCGAAAGTTCTCTGCAAATTAAGAGCATCAACAGATATATTACGACTACTTACATTTTCTCCTGGGTTACACACGTTTAGGGAGTGTACTGCTTTGTACTTTTTTTTTTCTGGAGAGGTTTTTGCTATAGAGTGTGTGTGCTTGCCAGAGACAGACAGAGAGACAAAAAAGTGAGAAATCACCCCCCAGGGGGGATGGCCATGCCACAATCCCTCCTCCACTCTCCTCTCAGGATCTTAGGCATGCACATGCGCACACACACACACACACACACACACACACACACACAGGTTGAGTTTAAGCCAACAGGTCCAGAACTCAAACCACAGTTGACTACGTGGGAGTCCAGCGACACAGCCATTACGTCAACTGCTGGTCCCTGTACTTTTTTTTTTTAATGTATTAAATTTCTTTCTATGTTCTTTCAGGTATAATCAATGGTAATGTGTGTAATATATATGCACAAATATATATTATATACCTATATATTTGTATATACATATATTTTATATATATATATTTACGCACACAATTTGACTTTAATGCAATTATACCCTTAAGACATTGCTTCGTGCACACTTCAAGAGCTCAGAGATCCAGGATACTTTGAATATTGCAAGGCATATAATATTTTTGCATCATTTGCATAATGTATTTGCATCATTTCATAGCAGAAGTTCCCAATGTTATTGAAGTGAAGCTTCTTTTTACTCGCACAGATTTTGGTATCGCCGTAGAAGGTGCCTGGGCTGAGAGAAAGTAGGAGGGGGAGACTGTGTCTGAGACAAATAGGAGTCAGCTGCATTTTCCTATCATGTGAAACCCCAGCTAAGCCTCAGGCTGTCAACACGGCCATCTACTGATGGTGCTCAACCTACTCACTGGGACTTTCACAGCACAACTTCTGCCCAGTTTTTCTTATAATTAGAGTAAAAAAAAGGAGCTGTAGCCACTAGGGTTCAAAGATGAAGTATCATAAGATGTAACACAGCCTATGCTTGGGGAGAGGCTGGTCTGACTTAAAACTACAGGGAATCAACCAGAGAAAGAAACAAAATTTCCTACTTGTGATGACAAGACACCTCAACCTTGAAAATGAACCTCTAAATCAATCTGGCTATCAGTTCTCCAACTTTTGCTTTTCCCAGTCAGTGCTTGGCTAGAACACAGCAGAGCTGCTGATTTTTTCCAACAGCACGGGAAGTTGCTGCTTAGACGTTGAGAGACCTGGATTTTAGTTCCAGTTCTTCTATCCCAAACGCCACCCACTTAATCTCCCAAGACCTACCTCTCATGTTCTGCACAACATTAAAGTTGGCCTTGAATTCTCCAGTTCTTCCACCACTATATTTCTCTAACTCAGAACTTTAGAATAGGAAAAAGTCAGGTGTGATAATGACAAAAGGTTTATTAAGTTTATTATTAGGTTTATTGTGATAAAGATGAAAGGTTAGGGAACAGCAGGTGGTATAGTGCTTAAGGTGCTGGACTCCCACCTGGCCAAGTGCAGTTCCAGTCCCAGACCTGGAGGCTTAAAATTCATGCCAGGTACATATGCGTGTATCCCCAAAATCCCAGAAGGGGAATGAAACAGAAGGGGTTGCAGCATGGCCATCCCCATTAGGGGATGATTTCTTGCTTTCTCTATGTCTCTCTGTCCCTCCAGCAAGCACATGTTCCATCTACCAAAAATCTCTCTAAAAAAAAGGTTAAAGTGGTTATGAGCTGGGAGCTGGACTGGTAGGCCGGACCTTCACCTTTCCTAGGATACAGTTCTATGGGCTGAATTCTTTTAGCTATGTGTCTTTCAACAATAAAAATACGGCCAGTATTTGCTTTCTCTCTGGAGATGCACGTCAAGATTCCATTCTCATTCCCTGCCCATTCTTACCACTACCTAGTCACTAAGTCCCACCAACACTTTTTAAAGATCTCAGTGAAGGGCAAATGGGAGGCACCCACGATGACCTAAAACCAGTCAATCCCTAGACTCTTCACAAGGTTATGATCTCTTTCAACCAGGAACCATATCTTATTCCCTCAGCAATATGCAGGGTCTTATATGTTGTAGGGACCTCTGAACGCTGTATACCTGAAATCCAGAAACAAGGTTATTAAATGTAGAACATGGTATCTAATCCATTTCATGTCATACCTGTTAAACATGAAAATAAGAGATCCTAGTTTCTGGAGTTTTGTGGGGTGTGTGTGTGTGTGTGTGTGTGTGTGTGTGTGTGTGTGTTTTGCATGCTCTTGCCAGAGAGAGAGACAGAGACAGTGAAAGAGAAAGTGAGAAATGACCACCCCCACCCCAAGGTGGGATGGCCACGCTGCAACCTCTCTCCTACATTCTTGTCCCAGAAATCTTAGGCAAGCATGCACGTACATCCGATAAGATTTTACACCCGATAAGATTTTCAAGTCACCAGGTCTGGGACTCAAACCACAGTTGGCCATGTGGGAGTCCAGTGACGTAAGCAACACGCTATTGGTTGACATGTTTCCATTTCTAACTTTTGAGGTTTACAAAGCAAAACACTATGGACCTTGAAAACTGGTGTAACTAGTGGAAGCCTGAGCTGGCTGTGCTGTTGCTTAGCTGCCTAAATCTTACTGAGTGCTTAAGAGAGCTAAGAAGCGTAAGCTTTGGAGTCAGACACTGAGTACTCAATGTGTCACCTGAGTCTCAGCTTCCCTCTATGGACAATGCATAAAATGCATAGCAAACTGACACATTTTTTGACAAACAAACAAACAAACAAACAAAAAACCCATAAAACTTTGCCTGATGGAATTATAATGAAATAATGAAGGTAAAGCATTTAACATACTGTGGGGCACATCATATAGGCTCTCAGTAAATGGAAGTTTTAATATATGGATTACTATTATTAACAACTGTCAAGGGATTAGCAGATCAATGATAAAAATTTAGCCTTCCCCGTAACTGCTCTGTATAGCATCTCAAACTCTTTTAAAATGTATTGTTTATTCACATTTAAACATTGCATATCTTTATGGCATACGATAGTTTTTCAAAACATGTATGCAATGCATATCAAATCATCTATATCATTCTCAACAGAAAACTTTCCATTCTTGTGCTCGTTAAATGTTTTTTTCCCTGAACCATGCTTTCCACCCCTCAAACTCTCTCAGATCAAAACTCTTAAGTATGTGTTCCCTGAAAATAAAAGGCTCAATTTGGGAGCAATGCCATGCAGGACACCACCATGTCCACTGGAATCTGAAACAGTGGTGGATGAAAACTAGCTTCCAACTAACCAGGAGGAAGGAGACACCTAAGACAGGTGCAACTCACCTCTCCTGTGTCTTTTCCAAAACTTTTAAGGAAGCAAGGGGGACAGAGAAAAGTAAGGGAAGAATAGGACACTTCAAGACTTTCTGGAATGAAGGAAAAATGCAGCGTCTTTTTACCCAAGCTCATCTATTAGGTCATGGGGAAAGTCATGACATTTTTCTATGCAAAAATGCATCATGACTTTCCCAACAACCCAAGAGAAACTCAATGGTAACAAAGCTTCTGCAGACAAACTCTCACATCCAAGAAACTTTTCATAGAATTTCCTTCATCAAGGAGATCTGGACCTACAAAATTAAACTTTGAGAACACCGCACATTGTACACAAAAGCACTGCGGACAAGCAGTGGAGCTTGAAAGGAGGCTGTAGGTCCACTGTGTGAAAGACTTGCAGACTGAGCGGCTGGGGAGAGACGCTCATCCCCCTGCAACCCCCCAACCCCAGTCCCTCTAGCGAAGGCTAGCAGGGCATTTCCACATCCAAAGGCCAGCAGCCTGTGTCAATGTGACAGATACTGACTTTACTTGCCCAACAAGGGTATAGGTTACTTAAAGTGACAGGGATGCTACAGAACACAACCTAGCATGGAATGTAGGAACTCTGGTTTGACAAAAATTCAAAGATACCAATCAACAGAACAACCAAGGCAGCTGAGATACATATTTATCATTTCTAAAAGTGTCTCTGCTCTTGGTATAGAGGATGTTTGAAAGATCACTGCGAAGACTTCATGTAAGATTTTTTTTTTTCACTCACAAATGATAAACTGTCATATGTGGACTGCTAACTGGTTCTTGGTAAGGCATCAATCAAGACTCAATGCTGTGTGGTAGATCTGAGTGACCCATCAGAAAACCTTCTGTTGGTGGGAAAAAGGGGAGGGGGTGGGGAGGTTGCCATAGAAACTCCCAACCAAAGCAAAGATGGGTCCTTGGAAGTCAACTCTGTGGCACTCCAAATAAAAGTCTGGCATCATCTGGTGGATATGCACCCCTGTGAGTCAATCCATCTACTCCTGAGACCCCAAGACTTGTGTCCTGGAAACTCGATCATATTTCCACTAGGTTCCAGGTATAAAAAATGTTTATAGTATTGTTCTGAGTGGCCCTGAAGTGGAACAAAATATTCATCCAAAGCAGAAGGGATACACTGTTATAGTCACACAATGGAATATTAGACAGCAGTGAAAGATCATATATATCATATATATACATACACAAACTTAATATTAAAGTCACGAAACATACTATGATCCCACTCATAAAATTCAAAAACTGACAAAGGTAAACCATACTGCATGCATATATGGGTGGCAAAGCTATAAGGGAAAGAAAGTGAGTATCTCCAGCGAGGGAGGGAATGAATGGTACTCTGCAAGGAACACGGGGGACGGGTGGTGAACTCGGCGCGGACAATGCATTTTTTTGTTTTAGCCTGGGTGTTTTTATCATTCATTATTCTAGAAACATGTATGTCGTATGCACTTTTCTGCATATGTTGTATGTAAAAGGTGAGAGCTCGACAACGATCCACCTCGCCATCAGGGGACGCCAAGTCTGAACATCAGGAGAAATAGGCCGAGGGGACTGTCGTGGTCCTTAAGGATTGGCGACCCGGCGCGACCTCTCCTACTTCCTTCCAGTCGTTTTCAGGGAGCCAAAGCTCCAAGCGACCCAAGAAGGAAGGACGGCTCTCACCAGCCAAGCCCACCAAGCGCCCAAGCCGCCCACCTCTTCGGCCCATGCGCGGTCCGCGGGAGATTCGCACGGAACCGGGGCGCTCTGGGGCTTGTCCCGGGGGCTGAGGCCGTGACTCCCCAGCCCCGACAGCCTGGGCGG